GGGCGGGAGCCACGGGGCCGCGCCCCAAGGAGTCCCGCCACGGGCTCCACGTGGACCTGGGCCGCGGAGGCGCTGGCACCCGCCCCTCGCGCGTGGGGGAGGGGCGCTGCAGCCGGGTTCCCCTTTTTCTGCAGCTCGCAGCCTGGGGAAGTGATTGCTCAAAGGTGGGGGCCGGAAGAGCCCAGGTTTCCGTGTCTCCCGCCCCCCCGCAGCCTGGTGGGGAGGGGCCGGGGCGGGACACCGTGTCCGCCCCAGCCCCGTTGGATCTGGCAGCCACTCAGCCTGGCGAGCTTTAGGGGAGGCGCTGCGCCCCTGGCCCCAGCCGATCGAGGACTCCTGGCGCCGGCCTCCCCCCAGACGCCGCAGGAGTCCCTCCTGCCGTCTGACTTGAGTCCCTGCTGCTGCAGTGCACGCCCCTTCGGCAGCCAGGGTGGGGCCCAGATCGAACCTGGCCCCTCCCGCCCCCACCCCGCCTTTGGGTCGCTGGTGAGTGGGAAGCCATGGCGAGTTCCTTAAGGTAGGGGTGGGGGCGTCAGAGGCTGGAGGAAGGGGCACCTGAGGAAGACAGGCCCCTCCAGAGAGCTCCTCCTATCAGCAGAAAGAGAGAGGAGGGAGGTTGGAGGGTCGCCGCACCCCTTCAGAGGTGAGAGTCACCGGGACTAGGAAGGGCTGCCCTGCCTTGGAGGGGGCCGGGCTGGGGCTCCCCCACCAGCCAAGTGGAGAGTGTGGCAGACAGGAAAGGTGCTGGGTGGGATCAGAAGTGGGAATGGAGCCCCTCTGTCAACCCCCCTCCCAAAGGTTATGACATTTTTTTCTGGGATTGTCACATTTTCTTATTCTTTTTTTGGACTGGGCAGGCTCGGGGACGTTCTTTTTCCTTCTGTGGAGCAGAGCAGCAGGCAGTCCCGAGGGAGCCTGTCCCCAGAGAACAGATTTGCCGCCTGTCCAGCCTCTCCCATCCCAGACTTGGGGACTAAAGCATGAGGGTGGGGAGGGAAGGAGCCCCCCAATACCAGGGTGAGGAGCAGGAAGACCCTACTTCAGATCCTGTACCCCTCCAGGAGAGAAAGGAGGCAGCCCAGGGCACCCATGAGTACCCTGGGGACGTGAGTATCCTGAATCAGGTCCAAGGATAGGCGACCAGGTCCAGGGCCTGCAACTGGGAAAACAGGCTGGCTCCCACCTCTGCACCAAACGGCCCTCATCACCCGGGTCCCACACCCGGACAGGTCCCATGCTCCAATTCAGAGCCGGCTGGAGGTGGCAGCCAAGGAAGGTGTGGGGAGGGGCCTGGTGGGGGTGTGAGGAGGAAGGGTGGCTGCCTGGGGAAGTCACAGCCCCATCTGGGGTACAGCTCCCAGACCTCAGAGGCTGCCACGCCCCTTCCTCTCCTAGAAACTTGACCCCTAAAGGAAAGCCCAGCTGTGGAGCTGCTTTTTGTCTTCCCCTTCTGCTTGCTGGGAGCCTGTGGGACCCACGATCTCAAAGGAAGCCAGGCAGGGGATCCTGCACCTGCTCCCAGACTTGGGTCAGGGAAGTGGCCTCTGCATGCTGGGCCCAGAGGCGGTGGGTGTCCCAAGTGTGCAGAACTCAGTCTTGTCCCTTCTGAGCAGAGAGGCCAGGGAGGGAAACAGGGATTAAAAGGCCACAAGCTAGGGGTAGGGCAGCAGGGAGGATGAAAATTAAATGAGAAAATAAAGTGGAATCAAATCGTGAGCCTCCCAGCCAATGAGGAGGGTGACAGACAGTGGCAGATGTGCAGGAAGGCACAGGAGGCCCAGAGGGCCCTCACCTAGGTAGGAGTGGGCACGGGCTAGGGGCGGGGAGGCGTTCAAAACTGCATCCAGGGCGCTGACTGGCCACCCTACACCTTTGCCACATGGACGCTGGGATCTGTGGCCGGCTTCTCAGGTGGCACGCGGGGACCTCTTACAGCTTCGGTGCCCCCAGTGTACCTCCACTGCAGAAGGCACAACCCCCCACCACCACGCCCCCTTCACAGAGACTATGAGGCTCCAGCTGGGGAGCAGGGCGCCCTCACTGGCGGCCAACCCCGCTTCCTTGCCTGGCGCACCCTAAGGTGGGGCCTTGGGGCCACAGTGGTTTCCGCAATGGTGGGCAGGGAGGGAGGGAAATCCTGGTGCCAGCTGGAGGAGGGGGTCAGGGCAGTGAGGACTGTAGAACTAACCGTGTTCCTCCTCACCAGTGCCCTGCCCCACTCCCCACCCCCTCAGGAAGTCCTGCCCTGAGCCCCACTCAGATCCTCTATGCTGCTGGCCTAGCCTCTGCCCCCAGCTGAGTCTGGGGTGAACAGGCCAGAGTCCTCCGAGGCCCACAGACAGATCTGGACTTTTGGTAGAGAGGAGCTCTGCCCACCTACCCACTCCAGAGTCTGGGCAGAAGCACCCTTGAAGGATGTCTGACCACCCACCAATGTGTAGCTCCAGACTCTTGGGGCCCCGGCCCGTATGGGAGGGGCTGGGAGCCGGAAATCAAGAAAGAGGAACCCAGTCTTCCGGCTTCCCAGGGGCTGAGCAGATGGGGTGTCCCTGAACCTTCTGGTGGGGGCCTCATCAGGGGACTGGTCTGGGATGAGGGGCCAGAAGCTGCTGTAGCAGCGTCCTCCCTGACCCTGTACCCCCTGGCAGCCCCATTGTGAGCTGGGATGGGGGTAGGAGCCTGGGGCAGAGCTGGGTCTGGAGGTGGAAGGCAGGAGCAGGCCCAGCCAGGGCTCAGAGAGGGAGGAGGGATCCACCCTCCCAGGGCACAGGCAGGAGCTGGGGTCTCAGGTTCTCAGTCAGAACCTTGGTCCCTCTCCCCAGAACCCCAGGCTGTGGTGAGGGTCCCGGAGCTGGCACCACGGAGCCTGGGCAATCTCCTCCACCCACCCATGCCCACCCCGCATGAGGCTGAGAAGCAGGTACGACTTCCCCTGTCACCTCTGCTTCCCTGGGGTAGACAAGTGGGGCAAGCTAGGGGCTGCAAGGAGCTGGAAGATTCCAGAACACCTGGGAGGGGTCAAGCCCCTGGGAGTGTGGCCACCAGCAGGTGGGTCAGGGAGAGGCATGGTCTGGGGGGTTCTGGCCTGAAGGCTGAGGTGGCCCCCTCTTCCCCCAGCACACAGGGCCAGAGGAGGCGGACCAGCCCCCTTCGATGTCCAGCCATGGTGCAGCCCCTGCGGCGGCCCCTGGCCGCAGTCCTTGCTGCCTTTGCTGGTGCTGCTGCTGCAGCTGCTCCTGGTACGTGGGGCGGGCATACAGCCTGCCTGTGCGGGGAGGGGGCGGCAAGGAGGGGGCAGCGGGGCTGCTCCCAGGCCCTCTGGTGGGTGCTGTCCAGGGACTGTTGGGTGCTGGCAGCCCCAGGAGGCTTGTGTGTGTGTTGCCCCTTACCTGGCATGCTAAGGGTGTGTCAGTGTGCAGGCACCAGGCCTGCTGCATGCACACATGCCAGTTCACTGAGCACATGCATACCAACGCCACTGTGAGCCGACCCCGCCCAGACCCTCCCAGGCATGTGTGGATGGAGGGGGCATTTGAGCAGGGACATGGGTGAGGGGGCACCCGGCCCTGGCAGTAAAAAGAGCTCCCAGGGTAGTGTGCAGAGTGCCGGGGGTCTTGGGGTGTCCAAGTGAGGGCAGGAGTGGGCCCTCCTGGGGTAACAGGACTTCCTAGGAGTGGGGAGGACTGGATCTCTTCAGGCTGCGGGCCCATGACTATTGAGAGGACAGCACCTGGGGACCCAGTGTGGGGTCAGCTGACCGGTGAGCAACTGAATCCTGAGCCCAGGCACGATGAGTGGGGGTGACAGTGGACAGTCACAGCTTGCTGCGAGAGTGGCCATGGGGGCCACAGGGCAGCAGGGTGGGGGAGGGCAAGAGGTTTGGGCCCTGCGTCCTGGGAGGCAGTGAGGCCACTGCTGAGAGGGCCAGGAGTGGGGGGCAGGAACTGGGTTCTCGAGAGTGGCCATGGGGGCCACAGGGCAGCAGGGTGGGGGAGGGCAAGAGGTTTGGGCCCTGCATCCTGGGAGGCAGTGAGGCCACTGCTGAGAGGGCCAGGAGTGGGGGGCAGGAACTGGGTTCTGTCTGGACATTTGGCTCTGGCCTGGATTTGGGTCCAGCACTGACAGGCATTCCCTGGAGAGAGTCAGGGGCCAGGCTCCAGTACGTGACCGGTGTAGACATGGGGCGCTCACCCTACAACAGCCCACAGATATGTTGACATGGTGCAAGAAAGGGACAGGGGCCAAGGTCAGGCTGAGAAGCAGGGCTTTGCCTAGCAGGCCAGGGAGGAGGAAGAGCTCCAGGAGCCCGAAGGGTCCCACAGGGCAACAGGCGGCAGGGGCCACGAGTCAACTGCTGGAAAAAAGAGGGCAGAGACTGTGGCCTGGGCACTGTGGCCAGGACAGCAACCTGGACAAGAGGGTCAGTGGGGGGCAGTAGGAGAGGCTGACAGCAGACACCCCCTCCCGGGAAGGTGTGACAGAGCCAACTCCAGGGCTGCCCTCCCCGCAGCAGGCTTGCACACGTGCCAGGTCCATGTCATGTGTCTGCCCACACTTGTGGCCGTGGTGGCACGTGTGCCCAGGGCAGTGCCACCTTTCTGCCATTAGGAACCAGGAGCGGCAGCGAGCGTGGCAGGCCTCCCGGGAGAGCAAGCTGCAGCCCCTCCCCAGCTGTGAGGCATGGTGAGTCCAGTGGCTTGTGTGTGCCTTGGGGGGACTCAGGCCAGGGGCCTCGGCCTGACACGGCCTGGCCTCTATGCTTGCAGCGCCGCACCGAGCCCTGAGGAGGTGCAGAGCTGGGCTCAGTCCTTCGACAAGCTGATGCACAGCCCAGCAGGCCGCAGTGTGTTCCGGGCATTCCTGCGCACGGAGTACAGCGAGGAGAACATGCTCTTCTGGCTGGCCTGTGAGGAGCTGAAGGCCGAGGCCAGCCAGCACGTGGTGGATGAGAAGGCGCGGCTCATCTATGAGGATTACGTGTCCATCCTGTCCCCCAAGGAGGTGCGGGGGGGAAGGGCGGGGCAGCCTGCAGCAGGCAGGGTGGGGAGGGTGCCCCCCAGGGCCCCTGACCTCAGTTCCCTGCCCCACAGGTGAGCCTGGACTCCCGTGTGCGGGAGGGCATCAATAAGAAGATGCAGGAGCCGTCTGCGCACACGTTCGACGATGCCCAGCTGCAGATCTACACGCTCATGCACCGGGACTCCTACCCCCGCTTCCTCAGCTCCCCCACCTACCGCTCCCTGCTGCTCCAGGGGGCCTCGCAGTCCTCCGAGGCATAGGCCAGGCCTGCAGCACAGACACTCAACCCCCCATGGGCAGGCTCTGGGTCACCTCCAGGTGTGTGTGTCAGTGCACCTTCAGGCACACGCCTGCAGGCCCCCACCCCTGGACCACGTGGGAAGTGCTGTGTCCCCTGGTTCTTCCCTCACATGGCCCGGTGGGAACTCCAGGTGCAGGACGGCCAGAAGGAAGCCTCTCACCTGGCCGGCCCAGTGCTCCAGTGCTGCAGAGGGGACTCCTGCACAGAAAGAGAAGGCCCTCCCAGGAGGCTCTGCAACTGTGTGCCTTGCAGGCCTCTTCGGCGGTCAGCCGGTGCCCGAGGAGACCGTCCTACCTGAGCTGACGGCACCCCAGAGTCAGACCCAGAGCCTCAGAACCAGATATGGGACCTCAGAGCCAGGCTCAAGATGACAAGACCCAATCTCTGTTTTATAAGTTCATGAACTTTAAACCTGGAAACATGTCTTTACTGTATTTTATCCAAAAAAAGGAAAAAAAGTTTTCATATTTATCTCCGTTTCTCCCTCCCCCCCCAAAAAAATAGGATGTCTTATTATTGAAAATATTTTTGAAGCAAAAGTCTCACCTATTTGTTTCTAAGTTTAAGGGAGATTAAAGAATGAGGAACTGTCCCATCCTCAGAGCTGAAGAGCAGTGTCCTTGGCCCAGGGGCAGGAGCTCCAGTGGCTGCTTTGCCCCCTCCCATGCCCTGGGCCCCCACCCAGCCTCTCCTCAGCAGCAGCCCCAGTGGGTGGCTGTGGCTTTGGGACCCCTGGCCTTGGCCTCCTGTAAAGTGGGGTCAGAGCAGTGTGACCCCAGAGCACCTCAGGAAGGCCAGTGGGGTGGAGCACTGAGGGACAGCCTCTCCCAGGGTCCTTGGTACAGATCACAGTGTTATCTTCACCATCTCACAGGCCCCGAGGCAAGGGCTCACTACTCCATCCCCCTAACTGGGAGGTTCAGAGACTGGAAGCTGGAACTGGCTGAGGGCTTCAACACCCCCACTCCCACCTGGGCCAGGGGCTGCCTATGCCTGAGCAGGGTGGGAGGACACTGGGCAGGTTGGTCTAACCAAGACCCCACACGGGCTCCTCCCCACCTGCCCACACAGCCAGCTCAGTGGGGCCTGTCCCACACACGCATGTGTGCACACAAGCACACCCACAGGCAGAGCCACCCCAGCATCCCCGAACCATGCAGCACAAGCAACCTCTCCAGGAGCCAGCCAAGCTCTTCCCCACTGCCTGCCCCCACCAGTGCCACGCCCAGACACTGCCTGACCCCAGGGAGGACTGTCCAGCCACACCAGCATCCCCGAACCATGCAGCACAAGCAACCTCTCCAGGAGCCAGCCAAGCTCTTCCCCACTGTCTGCCCCCACCAGTGCCACGCCCAGACACTGCCTGACCCCAGGGAGGACTGTCCAGCCACACTGGGGACAGGCCCCAGTGAAGCCTATGCATGGCCCACCCAGAGAAAGAGCTGAGGACAGCAAGATGGCAAAAAGAAACATTTAATAACAAGGAGACAGGGCAGAAAGGTGCGCTCCAGGCAGGCATGTTGGGGGTGAGGCGTGCTGCCTTCTGAGGGGGTCCCCAGAGAAGCTGTGTCGGCCGAGGACACAGGGAGTTCTGGACAGGCTGTGGCCTGGAGGTGCAGCACATCTGCAGGAGAGCTCAGCAGAACTGCATGAAGGGGCGGGTGTCAACTGTGTAGCCCTCCGTGCTGCCCCAGGGTGGGGGGCAAGACAGGCCGGCCCAGGGCTGGGGTCTCGACCCACCATCCCCAGGCTGCCTGGACATGGCTGTCCCTGGTTCACAGTGCAGACCCCACAAAGGCTGAGCCACCCCACCTCCAGAGAGGGCTCAGGGAGGAGCACCTCCCGCCCACCCACCTTCCAGCGGTTTCCACATTCATTGCAGACAACGAAGGTGGTCATGGGCTCATCAGAGCTGCGGATTTGTACCTGCGGGAGGAAGGACCAGGCTCTGTTGCAGAGGGTGTCCCTAACCTGGGCAGTGCTGACCCCACAGCCCCTGGGCCCCCATGAGTGACCTGATCTGAGGCTGCCCAGTGACCCCAACCTCGGGGATAGAGGAGGTGGTCCACAACAGCAGAGGGCCTGCGTGGGCCTGAAATGCCTCCCACCACCTGGGCCCTCAGCTGAGGGCAGGAGGGACCCCAACAGGAAGGGCCCCATGGTGGGGGACTAACAGGGACCCCCAGTGGCCGTGGCCGCCTTCTGGAAGCACACGGCCAAGACTCACCCCACAGGCAGGGCCAGTCCTGACGGAGGAGTGAGTCAGGCCCCGAGCAGCCCCAGGGGCAGACAGAGCACTTCTCACAGGCTCCGTCCTCCAGGCACAGAGGCTGCCACAACCCACTCTCCTTACCAGATCCCCCAACATCTCTTGGGGTCCACACAGTCTCCTCACAGCACCTCAGGGTCCACCTCCGTGGCAAGGTCTGAGGGTCCTGTGACCACCACCAGGCAGCAACCACACTGCCTCCTGCCAGCATTGATGCTCCTCGTGGCCCCTCCATACTGGGCTGGGCCCCCCGGCTTTACCACCCCAGAACAAGTGGGACCCACCACCGGAGACACTGCTTACTGAGGCCCAAGGGTCCTGGGTCAGGGGAGAGGCTCAGGGAGAAATAACGCTCAGATCACAGCCCTGGCACCATGTCCAGGCGTGAGGGCAGGGACAGGCATGGGCTCCAGGAGGGATACCAGCGGCCACTCACCTGTGTGTAGGTGCAGTTCTTCTTTCTGCACTTGCCACAGGTGAAGAGGTCAGTCTGCGTGCCGCCCGTGCGGGCCATCTGGTGCTCACGGATGGCCTCTTTGGTCATGGCCTTGCGGATCTCCTTCAGCTCATCGCTGGCCATCTCCTGGGGCAGGGGGCCAAGTGCTTAGCCCACGACTCCACAGGGAGGCCCCAGTCCCTCCAGTGGGGCTCACCTCCGAAGTCATCACGGCAATCTGTTGGGGCGTGATGGCACCACACAGCACGTTCCGCCGCAGGTCCGGGTTTTTGGTGTCCTTCAGGTTGGAGATGCGGCTCCGCACACGGTTCTTGTACTTCATGTCTGTGTTCCCGACGTCCCGGAAGATGCGTGCAGGCGTTTAAGGACCCATGAGGCCAGTGCCACTGCCCTCCACCCACCCTGCTGGGGGCCATGGTGGGAGTGGGGGCCTGGGGATGTTCTGCCAACCCACACCAGAGTCAGGCCACCCACCCAGGCCTGGAGGTGAGCTGCAGGGCCGCAGGGCTGGGCCTCCACCAGACCCATTCTTGGCTGAGACCCAGCTGCCAGCTCTTGGCCTCAGGGACCAAAGCCTCACCAGCAGGCAGAATCAGCCCATCAGCCAGTCCAGGGAGGGCCCTCCTGGGGTGAGGCTGCCTGACCACCCAGGAAAGGGCAGGTGACTGCCCACAGAGGGCACCAGCATCCAGGCGGGGGCATTCAGCAGCCACCAGGGGGAGCTGGGACCAGCGACCTCCTGACTCCACCAGAAATCCTTGGCCCCATAAGCCCCTACACAAAGGATATATTCCTCAATCTGGGCTGACAGACGCTCACAATCCGCACCAATGGCCACATGGTCATCTGCAAGAAGGAGCCCTGACTTAGCTGCCCCACTGGCCCCACCCTCTTGCCTGCAAATCACCCTGGCAGTAGAGGGGACATTATGTCCCTAGGGGACACTGCCCAGGATCCAGGAGTTCTGGTGTCCCCAAGGACCCCCTGCCCCCTCCTGGGGCCACAATAATGGGCTGAGGGGGGAGGCTGCCCTCTGGAAGCAGGCCCCTGGGGCAGGCAGGGGCCCAGGTCGCTCTATGAATCAGTGTGTGTTCAGAAGCCAGGGCGGCCAGACACTCACGGACTGCCTGCAGGGCAGCGGTCAGCATCGCGCGACACTTGCTGCGCACAGCATCGCAGGTGATGGGCACTGGGGGAAACGTGGTGATCCTCGGGGTTGATGGTGTCCTGGGCAGCTCTGGCCTCTTGCGGCTAGAGAGACAGGGCTGTTAGGATCAGATTTAAGGCCACATGTACCTACGTGAGACAGTGGCCCCCGAAGAGCAATGGTCACAGCACGGTCCCCACCTCCCACATCATTTGCTCCACCCTGATAGGCCGGCCATGGACGTGCCCTGCCTGTCTCCAACCCAGCCCAACCCAGCCTGCCCGTGGGGTCTACCGAGTTGGTCAGAGGAGCATGAGCTTTGAGGTCCCTGGTGGGTCTGGGTGCACCACCCCAAAAAGAAAAGGATGCCAGACCCCAGCACTTAGCGCCTGGGCAGCATCACCACTGGTCAGAGTGGGCTGTCGTTCCTGCCACCTCTGGCGTGCCCTCCGTCTGGGAGGCCAGGGACACAGGCCACACTGCAAACACCGCTGGACCAACAGCTGCAGCAGCTGCTGCTAGATCAGGAATAGGCAGAAACCAACAGCCGCCGGGGGGGAGACAAGGTGGGTCACCCATGGCCAGGTGCTGCTGTCACAGGTGCCCCATTCAGCATGTGTAAAACAGGGCAAGGACTCCCCTCTCAGCTGGGCCCCAACACGGGGCTGCCTGATAATCAGGCTGCGTCCACCTGGCCCTCCCTAATGCCCCCTGTGGAAACTGGTGGAAGAGGCAGCTTCCTGGAGGATAATCAATGCGTGCAGGGTAGAATTGAGCTTAGCCTCACGGTCATGCCATGCCTGGCCAGGCCCAGCCCACAGACACTGCTGCCCAGTCCAGGCAAGAACTAAGCACCCTCTTGGCCACAGCCTGTCCCAGTGAGCACCCCCAGTCTACACAGCAACAGGGCTCTGACCACCCTCCTGGGGCAGCAGCCAGCACCGGTCAGCAAGAACCAGACCCAGGACAGCATCATGGAGGAAGTGGACAGGAGGTGCCTGCAGGCCCGCTCAGGATCTGCAGGAGCTTGCTGCAGAGGAAGACACCAGGGTGGCTCACAACAGCCAGAGGGACACAGCACATGGCTCATGTGGTCATGGCAGGAGGGACTCAGCTATGAGACATAGCATCCAGTGTGAGACTAACCAACCCTGTGCGTGGCCCCCTGGAGAGAGCCCCTGCATCAGGCGCGCAAACATCAGCACTCTTCTGCTGAGGAAACTGAGACCAGGAGGCAGAGGTGTGCACATGCCTTCCAGGTGTGCTACCTGAGATCCATGGCCTCTGCAGTGTCCTTCGAGGACGACGTGGGCAGAGGTGTGCCCCTGCCCCGCTCCCTGGCTTTGGCATCTGAAGCATCTGCAGTTGCCAAAAAAGAGGTGGAGGGGCTGGTCAGGGGAAGGCGGAGGAGGGAGGGCAGCAGAGCACCACCAAGGCACAGCACGTGGGCAGAGGTGTGCCCCTGCCCCGCTCCCTGGCTTTGGCATCTGAAGCATCTGCAGTTGCCAAAAAAGAGGGGGAGGGGCTGGTCAGGGGAAGGCGGAGGAGGGAGGGCAGCAGAGCACCACCAAGGCACAGCATCAGCCAGACCACTGGTCCCAGCGGAGCAAGACACCAGGAGGCCGCCAAGCCTTCCTGCTAAGGGGCCCTCTCTCCCCAGCAACCCCATCAGCCTATGCAGTCCCATACACGCCCCCACTTAAGCTCGCCACTTGTGGGGCCTCTCTGGGGTCCATATTCCTGCCAGTCCTGGCAAGACAGACCAAGCATGGCCCCCACAAGGCTCCTCCTGAAACCCCAGCCTTGGGCGGAGACAGGTCCAGGGCCTGCACTGGGAACCAGGACATGCTGGTGCCACAGGTGGTCCAATGGCCACACAGGACTGCAGAGGCCCCCACAAGGCTCCTCCTGAAACCCCAGCCTTGGGCGGAGACAGGTCCAGGGCCTGCGCTGGGAACCAGGACATGCTGGTGCCACAGGTGGTCCAATGGCCACACAGGACTGCAGAGGCCCAGGTTGCATGGCTCTGTTTCACAAGGGTGTGGACAGAGCTCAGGATGAGAAGGCCCCCTCCCGGGGTCCAGAGGTGAGGCCTTCACCACCGCCCTCCCTGGAGCATCCTGGCCGTGCCGTTCTCTGCAGTGTGATTGCCCCCAGCCCAGTCCAGGTCCTGGCCTTGGCTCTCTTCTTTGTTCTGCCTGGAGGGAGCCCCCTCCCCAACACACACCCTTGTCCAGCCAGTCACACGGCACTCGTCAATCTGCTCCAGCCCCAAGCTGGGTGCCTCCTGGTCCAGGTCTGTCATCACCCCACTCCCAGGTGGCCCTACACTATGCTGACCAGCAAGAGGTCAGCGCTTCTGGGGGCCCATTGCCCGAGCACTCAACCGCACTTCCTGACCGCACCCAGGAGCTTCTTCCAGGACTTGATGAGGGACTTGGCCAGTGCAATAACCTCCTCGTCCGAGCTCTGCTTCCGCAGGGCGTTGACAGACATCCCAACGCGGGTGGACTGCAAGGTAAGTGGCCTGAGTTGGGAGGCAGCAGGCACCTGGTGGTTCCCACAGAGCAGGGGCAGACAGCCCTCCCGATGGTACTGTCACACTTGGATGGCAGGAGACTCAGCCATCATGGACAAGGGTGGGTTAACATCCCCTCCCCGTCTCAACAAGGACCAGGGAAAAGAAGGGACCTTCTTCTCAGGAAAAGGCATGGGGGCGCAGGGAAGCTCTGCCAGGTGCCCTCAGAACCGCTGTCCCAGGGCCAAGACAGGCAGGGACCTACCTGGAGCAGATGCAGCGTAACAGGCATGGCCTTCAGCTCCCGCAGCAGGTCCATGGCTCCCTCCTGCAAGGAGAACAGGACCTTCATAAAGACTTTAGACCTCATTGGACAATCCCACCTCCTCCTGCCCACTGGGGCATCACAAGGTAGTGACAATTTGGAGATGCCACCTGGGGTCAGAAGGCAGCCACAATGCCTGCACCTGGAGACACCCAGGGTTCTGCCCATGTGTCCTTGCAGCAGGCAAGGCCTCGCTGCCCACCCCAGGGCAAGAGTGGGAAGGGAAGTAGCTCTGTAGGCTCAGTCACATCCATGACCCGCATCCGTGGCAACAACCTCACTGACCTCACTGTAACCACATCAGGTCACTGAGCAAACCATGGGAACGGAAATGCCAACCCCCCAATGCAGATCAGGAGCCTTCAAGGGCCACAGCCCCTCCCCTGCAGCGAGGCCGACGCCCAGTAAAGGAGGAGCCCCAGGTTTGCTCACCCCGTCTCATCCATGCCCTCGTGGATAGGGCAGTCTCTCTCCAAAGTGCCCCACCCACCAGCTAGGAGGGGCTGACCAAGGGTGTCCCTGCTGAGGCCAAACCCACCACAGCCACAGCTACAGTCAACATTGATCGACAAGGCCCATAGCCCCACTCGTCATCCATGATCCCTCCTGGCCACCAGCCCTCGCCTGGACTGCTGCAACAGACTTCCCAGCCTCCCTCCTCTGCCCCATCCCCATGAGGCTGGGCACAGACAAGCTGCACCTCCACTCCAGGAAGCTTCCGGATGCTCTTCCAGGGTGCCAAGCCACCCACCCCAGGACCTTTGCACCAGCTGCTCCACTGCCCAGAACATGCCTCCCTAGGATGACCACAGGGCTTGTGCCCCCTGTTCCTCCAGTTTTGCTCAAAGGACACCTCAGTGAAGCATCCCCTTCTTAAAAATGCAACGGTGCCAGGCAGCACCCCCCTCCTCCTCCCTTGCTGTGCCTTTCCTCCACAGACCCACAGTCACTCTGCAACGTCCCCACCCCACGAGGGAGTCAGAGATGACTCACCCAGCCACTCAGGTGTCCTCAGCCCAGAAGCTGTGGAAGGGGCTGGGCCTGCCCACCCAATCTGGGCATCTCTGCTCAGGCTGCAGCCCCTCCTTACCCCCTCCCAAAGTCAGGCCCAGCCCTGAGGTGACTCCCTCAGAGGGGACAAATGGGCGCCAGAGCTAAGGCACTGTTCCCTGACAGTCCTGCACCTCAGGCAATGGGGCTTTCAGTGGCTCACAACCAGAGAGGCATTAAAACCCCCAAACAAGGCCTCCAACTCCCCCAAGGGGCCTCTCAGGTGCTGGAGCCCACCAGGAGCCCCTCCCCCTCCTCATTCTCCCCTGGGGCCTCTGCCCACGCCCACCCCTCCCTCGGCTCTGCCCAGTTCAACTCAGCCCTCTGTGGGTTCCATGACCCACCTCTGCTCACCCCCACTCTGGCATTTATCATTTCTGTTCTTCCTCCTCTCTGATCACCTCTGGAAACGGCTACAGATCATTCCCACACCCCTACTCCGTGCTGCTCAGGGCCTCCCAGGGATGTGAACACAGTGGTGGGAGCCTCTGCTTCCGATATGAATGTGTGGGTGGAAACCTGCCCCTTTCCTGGTGTAGACCCTAGTCTATAGGAATCCAGACTCAACTCCGCTCAGCCCAAAAAGCCCCCCGGCAAATTTCCACTGCAGGAGACAGCCCTGGGTGGCTGCACCCGCCATGAATCCGCAGCCTCCACCACCCGGGGCTGGCCCGGCAGGAGCTCGCTGTCTGGGTGGGAGAGCACAGGTCATGTTTACTGAGCCAGCCAGGCATGACTCGGGATCTCCTGGGCCCCTCCCCACCCCCGACAAGGCAGGTACCACCGCTCAGGGTGCTGCCGTGGGACGCTGTGCAGGCTGCCTAGGTCATGAAACTGGACTTGGACCCCCACTGGCCGCCTGACAGCAGAGCCCCAGGCCGAACCGAGCCCAGCGGGCCACAGGCTGCAGCCCCAGGACACTCCCAGGCGGGCTTGCCTGGCCTCCTAGATCTTACATAAGCACTCGGGCTCTTTCCCGGGGTCTCTACGTTATCTACCCACACCCAAGTCGCTGCTGGCCGAGTCCTGGGTAAGGAAGGGAGAGAATTTATTAGAGAAGCCTGGTTCTTCTGTGGTGGAGTCAAGGAAGAAAACGGGGCCCCCCGGCCAAAAAAGGGCCCCGGCCGGCCTGCAAAGGGGGCGGCACTGTGGCTCCAGGTGGAAGGAGGTCCGCGTCAGAATCCAAACTCTCGCGGATGGGAGTGGGCGAGGAGGCGGGGGGCGGGGGCGCCCGAGCGGC